CCCCCCCCCCCCTAATACACAGAAGTTTATGTCTAGCTTATTGGGAGTTATTTTTTGCAAGTAAAGCTGTGCTCGAGGAGTTGAAAACAAAACACAGGAAATTGAAGTGAATCACTTTGTACAGTTCATTGAGACTGATCCTGCGAAGAAACCGGAAAAGTGAGTGAGGGAACTCGGATTACTCCTATGACCAAATCGATGAGTTCCATCCCAAATAAATAATATCAACAAACCTCTCTCGAGTCGATAACTGAACTGAGTTCAAACTCGTCTTACATGATGGAATGAATAATTCCTATGATGAATTGTGTAGATAATCAGTGGTATGCATGGGAGCGCCGCTGGTCATCTTCACATCACCCTAGAGGTCGTGCGTTCGAAATCCAAAGCCGACCACGCCTAGCTTTCTACTTTGTATAACATGACAACTCTTTGATTGCTTTCTTCTTCGAAATTCCTTGTGTAATTATAAATTCGATGAACAAAGAGGAAAAACAGCCAAAAGGTTCTAGAAATTAATTAGTTGTGGTAGGCGGAGAAGTAGTAGAAGTGCAGTAAGTAGACCTGGTGTTACCCAACGACAGAATATTTATTAAGCTGTCTACGCAGAACTGCACGAATCTGGTGGGGAAACCGGACAACCAATGATGACGTTAGAAGTAGAGTCTTAGGTAGTCGCGGTCATCCACTGGAGCCAATGGTCGATTACGTTGGCTGGGGCAGGTGTTACGCATGTCACCGAGTAGGTTACCACAGTGCGCATCATTTGCCGAAACAGGTAGTGGGTTAGCAAAATCCAAGGATGGTTAAACTAAGACCTGGCATAAGGGTATAAATACACTGGTCGGTCGTATAGGTCAAGTTAGGCTCCCTGGGTGAGGACATCGAGATCAATGTAATTAACGATTGGAAACACTGAGTTCGGAAACAGTGGTGCTCGCACATCTGCATTTCCTTGCCACCTTATTTCACCGGAATTACCCACTTTTGTCTCCGATACTGCTTCCAACTTCTTTTTTCTACCCCTTAATCCAAAAGTCAGCAACTAAAGCCGGCGCATGAATGTGGACTGGATAGTTTAGCAATCAGAATCTGCCGATACTGAAGTTGTCTCATTTTTCCTCCGTTGACATACTAATTCATCGTTTTTAATTTGACTTTAAAAGAAAGATAGGATGAACAATCTGACGTCAAGATGCATCACATATTATCGCTGGGTGTAGTGATTTTTTGTGATAGAAGCATGCAAAGTGGGATGGGAATACAGATGACATGCACGCACACCACAACCCAAAACAGCATCAGGGAACAAAACACGAACGGAAAAATAAGCCGGATAGAACATACGGAACCAAAGGTGCGGAGGGGCGGGGCAGAGAACGTGGCTGTGTGTGTGTGTAGACAACATAATGTCATTCAGCGATCTTAATACAACTGTCCTCGGTGAGCTCAAAATACATTTATGGTCACACTTTAATTGCATTCGATAACTCGTTTGAAATACGCAGTAGCGCTCCGACAACTTTACATCTTGGTGGACAATGTGTGCTAAGTTAGAGCACGCGAATTACATCTTATCACCCGAAAACCCAGAGGAACATGGGCGTGAGAGTACGTGCATCAATAAACTCACATGAGTAAGATGACACGAAAAAAATGAAAGGAACATACCACGCTTCGATGGACGGTGCACGAACTAGTGTGTTAGGACCAGATTGATAGCCGGGTTGAGTGGCAGAGGTCACAGCGGAAATCACGGTACTGGGAGCCCTTGGAGGAGGTAACGGTTTGTTTCCCGGAAGACATGGGGCTTCGGTTCTTGGCATAGAGGAGGCGACTGAATGTTGGGACGCCATGGGCATTGACTGAGTCAGGGACGGTAAGGGGTGATAGTCCGAAGTGACTAACTGACTGCGTCGATATACTCGACTGTTACATGTAGCGCCTTGAGGACGCCTAGAGAGGACGGTTGGTGCCGCAGACACGTTAGGATTGGGGTTTGGTAACAGTGGAGGTGCTGTTGTAAAAGTGAGTGCAGAATGAAAATGCAATCAGTTATAGTTGTTTGGGCAATGCACTGGATCGGGTGGAGTTCTGGTAAGGACAGACATTGCTTCTTAATATCAGATGAGTGAACGGCGTGAAACACCTTAAATACATACATCCTCACCAAAGATATCAAATGCTTTTATTTAACAAAAAATTTATTCTATACCTGAGAAAGCCTCACTATGGTCGGAGTGCGTGTTCGGGGGGTTGAGATTGGTCACCCTTCCTTGCATCCTTCGAAATGTTTCAGTACGACCAAAAGTCTCAAACAGCCTTTGCTGGAGAAGCATTTCTCAGTGCCTCCACGTGGAAGAACTGCACTGCCATCGAAGTAGGAGGACAACAAGGCAACAATCGGGGCTATAGCTAGGCCGGTGAACTAAGGTGCAATATATA